CAGTTGATTTCAACAGTAAATACCAAACTCCGAGGTTTTGTTTGAAAAATTAAGCCCTTGGCTTCAGGAAATTGGGGAGGGCGGATAACGTCACATCTTACCTGGTTTTCCCACAATTGTGACAAGGATGCATGTCAAGTTAAAAATATTTCATCAACGATATTCAGCATAGTGTGCACCTCAAACTAGGTCAACAGCCTTTGAGAAAACAACATCTATAGAAATGTTTCTTTCAGTTTGTGCTGGACTAAACAATGTACCTATGCTACACATGCTGCTTCATATAGATCCTTGCAGTCACCAGATTGACCATCTTACCTAAATTGTAACCATGTGATCAAAACCCAATTTTGTTAACAAAATGGGTATTGCTTTACAGATGCACTTTGCAATTTTTGCTGCTATTTGACGTAAATAGCTTGTTTTCAGTCGATCAGTATTACCACACAATATTAGTCATGAAGAGTAAGTGAGTGAGTTTAGTTTTACGCCGCACTCAGCAATATTCCAGCTATATGGCGGTGGTCTGTAAATAATCAAGTCTGGACCAGACAATCCAGTGATCAACAACATGAGCATTGATCTGCGCAATTGGGAACCGATGACATGTGTCAACCAAGTCTGCTGACCACCTAATCCTGTTAGTCGCCTCTTACAACAAGCATGGGTTACTGAAGATCAATATTCTAACCCTGACCTTCACGGGTCATCCATGAAGATCCAGGTTAGAAATTATATATAATAGACTTGGGTCTTCGGTAACCTTTTTTCAGTTGTGAAAGAGAAATATTACATTTTCAAGCAGGTTCATTTGGTATATGAAAAAATTATTTATCAGTATATATCCAACAGCTGCTTAATTTATCTACTGGACAGGTGGCCAAGCTTAAATTAATTATGCTAGTTGGTTGGTTGGTTTGTTGTTTAACGCCACACTCAGCAATATTCCAGCTATATGGTGGTAGTCTGTAAATAATCGAGTCTGGACCAGACAATCCAGTGATCAACATCATGAGCAACGATCTACGCAATTGGGAACCGATGACATGTGTCAACCAAGTCAGCGAGCCTGACCACCCGATCCCGTTAGTCGCCTCTTAGGCCAAAAAAAAATAAATGTTGTGGTTCCGATTTCCTACATTTCAGAACTAGGGTAGGTAGGTAGGTAGGTTTTTGGGTTTTTGCAAAATATTTTTACATTGACATGATTACTCATGTGTCAGAAAATAAATTTCATTTATTATGTGGTGAGTGGCTCGGTGGGAATATCTAGGGTCGGTCGGGAAATCGGAACCACAAGCTTTTTTTTTTTAGGCCTTATGACTGACACAGACTCATAATGTTGCATGCTGTCAAAAGACAGTACGCTGCAAAGTTAAACAACTTTCTCACTGCCATTACAGAGTACAAAGTCCATGGGTTGAAACAATCCAACACCATGTCATGTAGTGTGTGTGTTCACATGCTGAAGGGGATCAATACAGAATCGACTATTGGTGACATTCTGCGTCAGTCGGCATTCCAGGTGGGACACTTCAATGCAGCTGTCACAACAATGTTCAATTCTCACTCATGTACACTACTGCTTTAAATTACAGGTTTTACCTCCACTCACAAACATGGGGGTAGTTTTAGGGGTCCTTGCAATCAGTGGGAGGGTCCTGTGGAAGGAACTGTACGTTTTGATAATTCTTTAGAGCCTGGACTGACTGACTGACTGAGTATGGTTTTACGCCGTTTTTAGCATAATCCAGCAATATCACGGCGGGGGACACCAGAAATGGGCTCCACAAATTGTACCCATGTGGGGAATCGAACCCGGGCCGTCGGTGTGACGAGCGAACGCTTTAACCACTAGGCTACCCCACCGCCCTTTAGAGTCTGTAATGAATCATTGATCATATGGCCTGCTGGATGAAATGATGCATGTAACTGCTCTGAAAGAAACAACCAAACACTTAGCAAAGTCATCGATGTGTTGTGGGTACAGTGAATATTGCATGTCCCTTTGCAGGCCAACCAAAGAAAACCTTCCCACTGTGCAGAAAAACGCAGAAAAGCCCACATTAATCGTGGAAGTAGCAACATGAACATAATACCTCGCTACTGAAACAGTAAAAACCACAACGAAAAACTATGAAACTGCAACATTTATATATCAGCGAACTTTGACCTCTACTGAGCATGCGCATTACGCTCCGGGCTTCTTTCCAATTTCCGAGCAACCGTGAATCGCCTCGCGTAGAAGAAGTATTAAATATGTCGAAATAATTGCTGTCAATCGTTTCATACGAATTGAAGGTAAACTAAAAAAGTGTGCACACAAGTATCATGATGATAAATGCCAAATAACACAACAGAAATACTTAAAAAGGAATGTAACTTTTGTCCAAGGTGGAAAATGTCAACATGCGGTAGAGATTTCCTCTTCCATGTGCGCATGCGCAAAATCGAAGTTGCAGGCTCCTGGTTTTATGATGCAGTGTTAGCGATTGAAAGTTGCCGTTTTTACTGTTTCACTAGCGAGGTATTATGTTTATGTTGCTATTTCCAAGATTAATGTGGGCTTTTCTGTGTTTTTCTGCACAGTGGGAAAGTTTTCTTTGGTAGGCCTGCTTTGGATGCAGGGAATTTATTTTTGCATCCATTCTCTAAATTTGTGCGAACTGGACGCACATTTGCGTGTCGCATAAAACCCTGTTACTATGATACTGTATGCTTCAAGCAGCACAGAAAATGATCATGTGTATATTCACATCTTGTCTGTGACTTAAACAACTTGTTTGAACCCTGTCTCGTAAAGCATATTTCAGTGAAGCAATTTCAGCAAATAGAAGTTCAATCGCTAATGCTGAGATCTACTGAAATTGATGTAAAGTCACAAGAGAGATCTTTTTTAAAATACATAAATAATACATTATATGTGGAATGCTCAAAGGAAGGGGTAGGTCATGAAAAAATGTTCTATTCATTTTCAGGGAGGGAGAGGGGGAGGACGGATTGAATGAGTTTAGTTTTACGCTGCACTCAGCAATATTCCAGCTATATGGCAGCGGTCGGTAAATAATCGAGTCTAGACAAGACAATCCAGTGATCAACAGCATGCCATTATCAGTATTGATCTACTCAACTGGGATATGATCACGTGTCAACCAAGTCAGTGAACCTGACCATCCAATCCTGTAGCAATGTTTAAGTCATTGCTTTTGAACAGTATTCAAATTATAGTACAGTGTCAACATAATGCAATGTGAAAATATATTTTTGTCTGCATCCTTCTATACATGTGTGTTTCTAGACGCACATTTCTGTTTTTTTGTAAAACCCTGTGTATGACATAAGCTAGTCTGTCATACAGCCTCTGAAGCAAACATATCCAAGAAAGCCAACGCAAGTCTAGAAAATGTGTCTAGAAAAGTCTAGATTTCCACAGCTTCAGGGTCTCAGGGCTCCTTTTCATTATATTTTTTGTTGTTTACCATGAACTTTTTCCCCAGTAATATGTTCATTTTAGAGACTAGTTGTTAGTCTAGACGTAAGCCAACTTGGATCATTTCTACACTACTAAATTATTCTTTCACATGAAAAAAATGCAAATACATGAAATATGAGTGAGTAAACAGCAACCCATTGTAAGGCTACTGAACAAGGTCAGAGTGCAAGGGCGATGACACATGTTTCTACAAATCAAAGGTTCCTTCCCTTTCAGTCTGGATCTGGTTATGGCTTTGCACCTCGTAACCCAGGCTGTACAACCTTTTTACACAGCCACTCTCAATCAGTCTATGTGTGGAATAAAAGAAAGATCATCAACATCAACTCATCCAAACTGATTGTCCAACATCCAGATACAGAAACATTCTTTCAACAATAGCATCCATTAGATCATAATGAGGCCCCAGCCTGCCTTGGGAAATATCAATCCGGACTTGTTCTATCAAAAGTGATGGAATTTATTGACGTTTGAGGTGCTTTCAGGCTGTGAGTTTATGCTCCAATCTCAATGTTATTAATGGTACCCTTATTGATTGTAAGCATGGAGACAATTATACAGTTGATGGGCCGTGCTCCAGTGACACAGATTCTGACAATACATTTGTTTCAGCAATGCAGCTAACATGTGGTCTTGATTAACACAAGGCTCTCCTTCTACAACAGCAGAGGTATGGTCTGATGTGCTCCACACAATGCTGTGTGAAAGATCTTCAGCAACATGTAATACCACTCAACCACTGTTTGAGGCTCAAGACATTTTTGTGAAATGTCTTTTTGCAGTATTACAGTATTTTTTAAGGAATAAAGTGTATTAGACGATATTTAGAGAGGAAATTATGAACACCCGAAGCGAACTATGGAGCACACAAAACATTCCATTCAACAACCTTCCACCAAGGACAAGCCAATCCTGTTTCAGTTCTTGCACCCATTCCACAACATATCACCATATAGTTTCTAAACATTCTGTATATACGTTGACTTCAAATGGTGATTTTTATCAAGTGTTTTAAGTAATAAACTTGCGTAATACATTTGAAATGTTTTCGTAATTCGATAGGTTAATTCTTATTTACCTCAGACATGTGCATCCACATTAATACACATTCAACAACAGGTGATGCCACAAGATGGCAATGTCAGTTGTTTCCGATGTGTAACTGTCAAGACTGTCTTTAACACATCCTGTCATCTTGTGAACATACAACATTTACTGTTATTAGTGTTGGGAATTGGTTAAAATCTCATAATTGATGATTGGTTCATTACAACCGATCAATCATCGAAAATAATTGGTTAGCGTCATTTATGAAATGTGTTAATGCACAAAAAAATAAGGAAAAAAACATGTAGTTCTTTGGGGTTTTTGGGCAAAATTTCACATCTTCAAAGGATGACTAGTATGGAGGAACATTAATTTCTTACGAGTCTTTAAGATAAATTCAATCATGACTTGGAACGAGCTTGTACTGTAGTGCTTATGAAATGTAACAGACAAAACCAACCTAGTGAAAAATAGTGTTAATGAAAACAAGTGTACTAGAATTGTTTGTGTTCGATTATGAGAAAACATGATCGATTGCTTGGTCGTTTAGTGACTGCGACCAATCTTCCATTATTTCAATAATCGGACCACCACTAACTGGTATAATCATGGCAACCTTTTGATATGAGTGAATTTTGGTGTCAGTGTGTTGAGTATATCAAAGACATCATTACTTGTGATGTTTACATCTTTGATGCAACCAATGAACAAGCCGTGAGGTTGAAAGGATACAGGCCAGCACACACTAAAATGGTCAAATGGCGTTAAGATGTAATAGTGAGTGAGTATGTATAGTGAGTACAACAGAAATGGGCTTCACATATTATACCCATGTAGGGAATTGAATCCGGGCCTTCGGAGTGATGAGCAAACACTTTAACCACTAGGCTACCCCACCACCCCTCAAAGATGTAATAAGTTTATTGAACATTTGTATGAAATGTTGGATGACAGTTGTTTGTACATTACAGTGAACCACTGAGTGTACTGATAATGATGATCTGGCAGAATTTGAGCTAACACCTTGGAATGAAAATACAATGAAGACAGAGGTAAAATAGCCAAGGAAGAGGAGAGGTGAGGTGAGGTGAGGTGAGGTGAGGTGAAATTGGGTTTAACGTCGTGCTTGAGAATATTTCGCTCATATGGCGACGTGCATGCGTGTGTATGTGTGTGTGCGGCTGCTTATACTAGCTGGTTATATAGAGCTAGCCCACTGAGATACCATGCCGCAGTGAAGCATGAATAACCCATTCAGACACATAATACTGACTCCACTCCACCAGTCCTTGTGGTACCCGTTAGCGCCAGGCAGGGACCAACAAGTACCATATTTTAACGTCTTTTGGTATGACGCGGTCGGTGACCGAACCCGCGACCTTCCGCTCTCCGGGGCGAAGGAAGATATTTGAAAGGATACAGAAATGTCAATGTGGATATCTGCCTGATGCTGACATGATTCGAACACACACACAGGAGTGTGGAATGTGCCAACCATAAACATGATAAAGGTTTAGCAAATATTCACTAATTCAGTCACAATGAGAAACATATTCTGACACATTATTAATACTTTCCTAACAATATTTAGCAATTTGTTTTGAATTTTTTTTCATGACAAGTGGGGATTATGATACCCTGATTACTTATCAGCCAGGGTATCTGGAAAGATTGGAAATATTACACTAAAAAATAAATTGAAACACTGATTGTAGTCTGTACCAAATGTACTGAATTTCCTGTGCACTGATTTGTCAATGACTCAAACACCCCTACCACAAATACTGATCCTGTCAACGTATCCCAATGTGCGTAGATCGATGCTCATGCTGTTGATCACTGGATTGTCTGGTCCAGACTCCATTATTTACAGACCGTTTCCATATAGCTAGAATATTGCTGAGTGTGGCATTAAACAACAAACAAATATTGATCCTCTCACACCTAACTCTGGATACACATTAAGAAACATTTTTGTAATAATTCTCAATGCATAAAACAACATTCACCCACTAAGTTAGCAGGGCTTGACATTCACTCAAATTCCCGAACAACACCCCCTGACCAGTAACTTTTAAAAATCACTGGTCCTTTCAGATTCTTACTGGTCCTGCTAAGGGACTCTTAATGTCAAATTCTCACTTGCTTTGTAGAATTTTATACATTCACACGTCGTCGTGTTCACTTGTTTTTTTTTTATTCATTAATTTTTTTTGGAAAGCTCAAAACCTGTACAATTATATTGACAGCCTTAAATATCTACTAGACCGTCCAGATAGCGTTTATCAAGTTGCACTGGTCCTGTTAACATTTTACTAGACCCGGGCCAGTGGGATAGCGTGGATGATGAGCCCTGGTTAGAAACAAAACCATATACACATGTACTCCTTGACTGACTTAATTTCCACCAGTCACCATGGTCACAGACCAACTTACACAGATGATGTGAATTTATTAACATGATTAAGTGAGTGAGTTTAGTTTTACGCTGCACTCAGCAATATTCCAGCTATATGGCAGATATCTGTAAATAATCGAGTCTGGACCAGACAATCCAGTGATCAACAGCATGCCATGATCAGTATCGATCTACACAACTAGGATATGATCACGTGTCAACCAAGTCAATGAACCTGACCACCCAATCCTGTTTGTAGCAATGCTTCGGTGTAGGTTTTGAACAGTATTCAAATTATAGTACAGTGTCAACATAATGCGAGAGGAAATCAAGTCTGGACTAGACAATCTAGTGATCAACAGCATGAGCATCGATCTACGCAATTGGAATACGATGACATGTGTCAACCAAGTCACCGAGCCTGACCATCCGATCCCGTTAGTCGCCTCTTACGACAAGCATGGGTTACTGAAGACCTATTCTAACCCGGATCTTCACGGGTCATGAATTTATGAAACAAGTTATAAACTCAAGGTAAACAACACTGACCACAGTCCCAACCTAAAGTGTCATGTTCTGGCAACACAACTCAGTGATTCACCTTCCTACCACATCCTTCATGGACAAAACCTTGCTTGTCTTAGAAGCCCCAAGAACACATGGACCCTCAAATCACACTGCCTTCACATCTACTCCTCTGTTTGCACGGCTGAGAGTCAACAAAGATTGTCTGACAAATAAAGATAGCATTTGTGACTTTTGCAAAATACATCCAAAAGCTAATTTACATGTGTCTGAAGATAATGTTCTGAAATTTGACCTTAATCAAGTATTCACGCTTACACACAATATAAAGAAAATGAGAGTCAACTCCCTTGTACTCCCATACACATGGTACATGAATATTTGTTGTGAATTTTAGCAGCTAAAGAAAATAAACCAAGCCCTCGTTCCATCCGCATGATGAGTCATCCTTCAGTTATTTAAAGATATGCTTCTGCAGAATCACAAATTTCAAATATTCACACCAAGGATTTTAAACTTATATTAATTCTGAAGGAAATAACAATATGTGCTTATTATACATAACCTTTTTGTACAAGTCTTAGTCCTTAAAGCAACAATAAACATGATGGAAAAACATAAAGACATGAGTTTTCTTTATCATTAGCCACGGTAACAGCAATTGTCTTGGAAGAAGGGATATTAGAATCGTCCAGTAGCCAAAGTCTACTTCCCTGATGTTGAAGGTATTCGGACACCCAACAGTTAGTGAGTGAGTTGAGTTTTACACCGCGTTTACCAATATTCCAGCAATATGACAGCGAGGGACACCAGAAATGGGCTTCACACATTGTACTCACGTGGGGAATTGAACCCGGGTCTTCGGCGTGACGAACAAACGCTTTAAGTACTACGCTACCCCACAGCCCTAGAGCAGTGTTTGTCATGATGCAGAAAACCTGCGTATTTGATGCACAAATTATCTCAAATACGCAGTGAATTTAGAAGCTTGCGTCATTGTTGACGTAATGCTACTTGGCCCTTAGTTCAGATAATCTGAACTTCTTAAACATTTAGTTTGCCAGTTAACCATGTTAACTGCTCAGTGCTGATTAAATACCTGACCTGCCTTACCTTGCTTTTTGTCGTTATTAAACAATCACTCCCAAAACCATGTCTTGATGAATGTTAAACAACGTTCACTCCCAAAACCATGTCCATAAATCCGTCATACGACACAAAGGAGTCATGATGACTCCTAAATTTGTATGCCTATAGGGCAAACACTGCTCTGGAGGACCAGCAGAGTGAGTGAGTCAGTGAGTTTAGGTTTACACCGCTTTTAGCAATATTCCAGTAATACTAGCAGACTATCCAACTGATAATAGCACAGTATTGACAATGTCATCAGCATCCACTGTCAGTAGGGGTGGGTATTGCAAAGAATTTTCATATTGCGATATGATAGCATATATTGCGATATGTTTTGCAATATATTGTAAGAAGTATTTTTATACAAAAAAACTACGTATAGTCATGTTAATGCTTGATTTATAATGCATAAACACAACAAAATCACTATGCTTGATTAAGCTTTAATAAAAACTTTTAATCATGACAAAAATAATAATGTAAATAATATATAGCACAATTGAAACAAGGAAATATCCGAAGATTTCCAAGTGTTACGAAGTTTTCCGAATGCAAGTCAAAATACCAGTTTTCGATCAGCGTAGCGCAATACGTATAATTTTCATGTCTGAAGCAGTAAATACCGGTAAACCGGTTATATTGTGCAGCCCTAACTGTCAGTGAGGAGGAAATAAAGTGTGTATGATGAGTATAATCAGGATAGGGGAACAAAACCTGGATAAACAAACTGGACTGTTTTAAGTTTAAATTACTTTAACTCTAAAACCAACACAGCTTTGAACTTTCAAAATGCAAACTTCTAAGAATGTGTCATGACAACTAATTATAAACTGCTTCCTATCTGGCATAATACAGTACAAATAATACAATTTTCAAGTTGTTTATGTTACTATTTTTACAATAAGTACTTTTATTTTCCCCAAATTGAGATAATACTTGGTTAATCTTTATGAAGCTGAAAAATTAAATTTCTATTCTGATTCTTGTGCACATTTAAATAAGTTACTTTTTCGTTAACACTTTCTGTAAACATGGTAAATGAAGAGCGAGTGAGTATTGTTTAAGGCAATATTTAATTTTAGTAAGAATATAGCATGTCAACTAACAAAATTATGAAGTCAGGCTCAATGCCTTTTTTGATGTATGTTCTTGTTGATATTTGCCTCCAGTACAGTTGGTTGGTTTGTTGTTTAACGCCACACTCAGCAATATTCCAGCTATATGACGGCAGTCTGTACATACCGGGGTAATCGAGTTTGGATCAGACAATCCAGTGATCAACAGCACGACCATCCATCTACACAGCTGGGATATGATGACATGTGTCAACCAAGTCAGCGAGCCTGACCACCCAATTCCCTTAGCCTTACAACAAGCATGTTTGCTGAAGACCATTTCTAACCTGGATGTTCACAGGTCCAGTCATACAGATTGATGCTCATGATTTAAATTATTGGAATGATTGTTCTGAACTTGAGTGGGGCGTTCAACAATAACCACTATTCCTCAAGTGAGCTAGTGAGTGAGTGAGTTTAGTTTTATTCCAGCTATATGGTGGCGGTCTGTAAATAATCAAGTCTGGACCAGACAACCAGTGATCAACAGCATGAGTATCGATCTGGGCAATTGGGCACCGATGACATGTGTCAACCAAGTCAGCGAGCCTGACCACCTGATCCCGTTGGTCGCCTCTTACGACAAGCATGGGTTACTGAAGGTTCATTCTAACCCGGACCTTCACGGGTTCAAGTGAGCTAGAACATGTACAACATATCACGTCACCAAACACTCAATGTTCCACACGACACAGGTACAGTCATGCCCCATGTCTTATCTAGCAGTACCAATGTTTAAACACGATTAGAATGCAGTAGCAATAAATATTTGCTGTATCGGCAATGGGTGGCAATTACTTTCCAAGCCAATTCAATTTATAATCTATAAAACATTATGTTATCAGAATCTCCAGCTTGTGGGGGGATATTCTACAATACAGCAATCACACGCACAGCCAATTCAAAACCAGAGGAGTAAGAATTTGCCCCCACAATGTCAACTTAATTTCAGAACACATAATGACATGCATGATTTACTATGAACGGCTGGGTCCTTGGAGATAAGAAAAGTCGATAATGGAGACCTACGATTTCCTAGTTTGTGAAGCGGGTTGCATTCAATCATAAGCAACTGGAAATGAAAATACATTGTATATGAACATGTAGGTATCTTCATTGCCATAGATGTTTTGATATCTATGAGGGATGTATCTTGGATTTCACATGAAGTGCCTGTGGTAGGCACATATGGAGGGAAATGCCACATTTGAAAAAACTGCATTTATTTCAATCTTCTCTTGTCAAACTCTGAAGAATTGGGGAGTGTTAAAAAATTAGATTTGGGTATTTTACTCTTATTTACTGCAGACTTGGGGCTGAATGTCGGCCTTTAAAAAGGGCTAGATTAATCTCTAGGTATGCATTGCTAAGTGGAATCAGAATATGGTCTTTTTATTACAATCTCAACAAATGAAACTCATGGTATAATAGTCAAGGGTTGTGCTCTGGAAAGAACTGCAAACTTATCACTATCAGACTTGTCTATAAGTTAAAGCATTACACTTTACCCAAATAACAGATGCTAATTATGATACGGTCAATATGGCCCTACTAGTGTTGGGAAGTGGTTGAAATCTCACAATTGATGATTGGTTTGATACCAACGACCAATCATCGAAAAAAAATTGGTTCGAGTCATTTTTTAGATTTTCCTATACAGGTTGTAGTTGCAGATAAGTATTAAGAAAAAACATTTGGTTCTCTGTTGTTGTTTTGTTTTATTTAGAAACTGCACAAATTACATTTGCAAATTTCACATCCAGTGAAAATGATTCAGTTCCAGTGTAACATAAACTTCCCAGATTCTTCAAGAAATATTCAGTCATGACTTTTCAGAAAGTGAAGTGAGTTTTCTAAGAATTAAACATGTTTTCTGGCCCTGACAACGTCCTAGATATGTTCCATCATCAAGTATTTCAAACTCTATTACAGCGGTTCCAAAATCGTGTTCGATTATGACAAAATGTGATCGATTGCTTGTCTTCGATTATTTCAATTAATCGGAACACCACTAGGCCCTACCTCTTTTCCTTGCATCATGTGTATGTCATAAGATATATGCTAAGTTACTAAACATAGTAGTTGTTAAAATGATCATAATTAATGATCATTATTGTCAAGTTAAATATCAAATTAACACAAAATTTCATGACATTTCAGGCATTCTGCATGACAATTGGTCAATGTCCTAGAAACAAAACTGATCTGAAACCCTGCTTGACTGGTTAAACATGAAGTTGCTGAATAGAGGTAGACTGTACTGACTCCTGCAAATCTCCTCTGTATCTGGCAGTGCAAGATCTTGTTGTAAATACATTCATTCAATAAACAACAGTTAATGGTAATTAACACCAACAGATATGTTAATAAACTCATGATTGATACATGTGATTATCACAGGGGAAGACTAACATACCATATTTCACATTGTAATAACTACCCAGGGGTGGAAATAACCCATTGCCCGACGTCCGAGTCCAGTGTTTTTTTCTGTCGGGCAAGCAAATTTGTATATCACACTGTACTGGTGTCCAGTTGACTTTCCAATGTTAATTATGGTGTTTATTTAAACAATCAACAAGAAAACGGACAGTATAGTGGAAAAATTATCAGGGCAAGTGATTTTACATGTGCCACTGTACCGGAGTACACTAGCAATTTTAAAGTTATTTCCACCCCTGCTACCCTTGCACAAAGAGGAAACACAGCTAATTGC